TAGGCATGGCAATTATTTTTTTTTATGTTCAGTAACAAATAAAACATATACATATATATAAAAAATGAATAGGGACTGTTGAGGAAGGGCAGAAAAGAAGGCTGAGGAAAACAAAATGGGTGAATTGAAAATGTGAGAGTCTGCGAAGTGGATTCTACCTCTTAGGATTTCATTGTCTCACAGATCAGGTGTCAGCTCAGACCAGAACTTATCCAAAAATAATTTCCAAGCATAAAGCTGCCTCTTCAGAAGCAAAGCTATGCAAATAACTACTACTGGCCATCAACTGCCATTTCAGCTTTTGGAATTACAACTAAAATTTTTACTTAAAAAAAATGAAATACTAAATCAATATCCAAATGACATTTTTTATACCTTCCTCCAGACCACCCAAGTATAGCTGGAATGATGAATAAAGCATGCATGGAAAACAGAAACAACCACCTTCTGCTTTTAAAATATGGCATTTTAAATGAGTGCATAGAGTCTTGCTCTTAAGGCATTCATTCTTTTATGGGTTCCACTCACAGGTCCAAGAAGGCAATAGTTTGCTGACAGACCTGAAGGAATAACTGGAGGCAGAGGTTTCTCAGGCAGGAAAACAACCACCACTCATGAAGATTCATTTTCCACCAGAAACAAAGAGAAATAGAACCACCACCATGTCACTTCCTTGAGCCTGACAGACATTATTAATGAGGGTAAATATGAATGCACAAAATAAATCATTAATTCCTAAATTTATGGCAAGATCTGACCATGAAGCAGTGGGACAATTGCTAGGTTGATCAAAAGATTTTCTTCATCTTGGAAAGCTTTTTACAAGAGCTAATACCTTCTCCAAGCAGACTGTATTTCCTCCTCTCTCCTTCTGATTCTCTGCTTTTAATTGTCAGTAGAAAGATGATAAGTTGAATCAGGTTTTCTGAATGACTACAGTTGTACAGATGGTGAACAAACAGATGTTCTCAAACAGAACATCCTTCTCTAACAACTTGGAAACAACCACTGCTGCTTAAACTATGCCACATACAATAAAAATCTCTTAAACCATACATACCTCAAGTATTCAGTAAATATTAAGTAGAAAAACAAAAACAAGAGAAGGTCTACCATATGTGGACTATCCATCATTTATTGGTAGAGAAACTTGTAGCAGGATTTTAAAGTCATTTATAAAAGCAAGAGCAAAAGTAAAACATTAGGTTGAGAGCAGGGATTTAGGCAGAGGAATACTGAGGTTAGTAACAAAACTTCAGGTAGCCTGTCACCTAATAGACTGGTTCAGACTCCCTTGTACAATACATGCAGAAACAAAGTGTCTCAACAGCCATCAAGCTGAGAGGAGCTACTCCAATATACCTATTAAATTGGGGACCATGGAAGGCAAGGTGAGAGAATGACTATTCATCCTGGCAGAGTACATGCTTAAAATGGACACTGAGCAGCTCTTGGTTCTCCAGTGTGATTGCGCAGAAGTCCTTCAGAAATGCAGGAATGGGGGCTCTTTATTAGCAGGTATTTCAGGTTCTGTAAAGTAAGAGGGCAGCTGCATGGGGGGGGGAGGGCAGGATTCTTTATGGGGATGATACCTGAAAGTTGGATGGTAGTGTTTAAATAAACTGTCTCCTAAACATAGTCTACAAGGTTCACTTGCGGTCTTAGTCCTTAATTTATAAATTCTTTGTTCAAGTGTTAAATTTTCACTTGATTTGAGCTACGAACTGTTATTTTTAGCTGATTGTTTTACACAAGATATTCTTTTTCCATATTCTGTGACTAACATTTTGAATAACATAGTGCAGTTCAGTTCCCTGATTGCACATAGCTGTAATAAACTGGCCTGATATAAATGTGATTAAAATTAAACCCATTCTGTATTCAGTGTGATTTTAAGTGTTGCTTAAAATTTCCTTCCCAATGCACCTAACCCGACTTCTGCTGTTGCCCAAAGTTTGACTGAGTTCAAATAATCTAAATAAAAATCTGGTTGATAATTCAGCAAGTTAATTATGAACAGACTTCTACATGCTCCCACTGGCTCAAATCTTGGTTTGACCCAGGGTTTTAAAAAGTAAGACAACTATAGGAGTATGTAGTGGATAAAGCGAAACAAAAGAAAAAATATGCAACTGGGGAGAAGAAGTCAAAAACTCCAGTAATATCCTGTGCCTAGGAAGTAATCTTGAGTATTACTAAAAAGACAACACCGTAATTTAATTCAACAGGAAAAAAAGAATAAGTGAAAGAAAAAGCTTACTTTATTTCTTATCACAACAAAATTAGTCCCAGCACTGGTTGTCAGATTATTCAGAGTGAGAGTCAAGCACTGTAGCCTAATGTAACTTGAACTAATCTTATACAGTGCTGTGGAATAACCATAAATTACTGAGAGCCTGCGAATGGTCACCTCATGAACTGCAAAGGGGTTTCTTAATTTCATTCTGGTTTTGTGTCTGAACTCCATTCCTTTCACATCCTGTTTTTCTAATCTGTGGAAAACGACATGAGAATTATACCTTGTGTATTTCACAAAGCCTGTTACTCTGTCATACCTGGCCTGCAGAATAATAACCCAGCATCACATGAGGGGGGCTGCCAGATACAGCAACACTTTATTGCCGTTTGAAAAGATAGTTTATGACAGACCTAGAAGATTTAGGTGAATGCTGTATCCTGAAAGTAAGAAGACTTTTCATCTCAGAAGTTAACTTTGTTTATTGTAATACTTGTGCCTGAAAAAGGACACAATCAGTATATCTGAGTCCCACTGAATGTGAGTTTTTGGAAGCTTGTCACATCAAGCCTAATTTCACATAATTTCAGTACATTATGTTGCTTTTGTGGACATGTTTTCTTAAAAAGATCTTTAAAAAATAATTACCTGGTTCCAGCCTCTAAATTGCTGTGGGAGCAGTGTTCTCTGCCTTCTCCCCTTGCTGAATACCAGTGTCGATGAATAGGAGGAGACTGAACATGTCCTTCAACACCACCAGACAGAGGTGGAGGGGAGCAGGCGATGTTCAGAGGACCCAGCAAGGCTGGAGGAACAGGCTGACAGGAACTGCATAAAATTCAACCAGGACATGCCCTTCAGAGGAGCTGGCAACCCTGCACCAGAACAGGCTGAGGATTGTCTGACTGGCTGGAGAGCAGCTCTGCTATAACAGACATGGGGCCTTAGTAGGCAGCAGCAAAGTCTACAAGATACAGGGCTTTATCAACAGGGGTCAGGCAGTAAATTGAATGAAAGGGTTATCTAAGCTCAGGTAGAATACACTTATTAAGTCGCACATTGATGCTGCTTCTAGTTATGGCTGTCCTAATACGAGAAAGGTATTGAAACCTTCTGGTGTTCAGGAGACAACAGACAGAATGGTGGGGGGCTGGAGCACCTGACCTGAGAAGAGAGGCTGGAGACCTGGGTTTGTCCAGCCCTGGGGCCCCAAAAGCAGCACACAGTATGTGAGAGGATGGCAGCAAGGAGCAGGAGTCATGCTCTCTGTGGAGGTGCACATACAAGAAACAGCAGACAGAGGTCATAAGCAGTGGTGGTCTTAGCCTTTCCTTCTATACACTTTCTGTGACTTGCTGGCAGAATCCTCAAGTCTAATCCACTCTCCCTTGATTTACTAAGCCTGCCCAAGCTCCTGACACTTTCCTAGCCTTTGTGTGCCTTTGATCAGTTACTGGCTCTTTCTAACCTTAAGCCTTCAGCAGTCATCCTACCTTTCTCTGGCTCAGTTCCCTTTGGCTAATACCCAAGGTAAATTTCCAAATCACTGTTTGTATCTCATTGGCTCATGCTAATTGCCTGCTAAAGATGTACTTGTGTTCTACAACATGTGGTGATATTGCACACACTACTGTCTTTGAAGGTCTCATTTTCCTTAACGGCCTCCTCTTCAGAGCCATCAAAAGTTTTCCTTGTAGAGGATAATAAAAAGTCAATCAACCTTTAAAGTGAGCCTTCTTTCTTTCTCCCAAAGTAAATTCCACATTCATGTTTTTGCTTCTTACCTGCTTAACTTGCACTCTGAGCTTGTTTAGCACTCTTACAGCTTTTCCTGTTTATCCCTTAAACTCTTAGCATTTAAGAAAAAAATTCCTAGGGATTTCATTTCCCTTCCACTCAGGTTATTTTTTTTTTTTTGTACTGTGTCTTGACAACATTTTGAAACAAGTTGGAGCCAAAAGCATAAACTCAATTTCAAAAATTAAACTGATACTTATACTTTTAGACAAAATCTTGCATGTCATTTTTTTCCCGTTAAGAGTTATGGATCTAGCCCAGGTTAAAAATAAATAGTTCAAGCAGTGATAAAACCAAAGGTGTTATGTGAAACTAGAATGCATTAGTGTGTCCTAATCCATAAAGGTACACTTAATTTTACCTCAGTTTTGAGGAAAGCCACTGAAAGGTTTAAACACAAGTGAAAGCAGTGGCACAACTCATTCAATTTGGATTTAAATCTAAATCTACTGCTTTTAATAGCAGTACTTATAAGGGAGAAGGTTAAGCTATCATAAAATATACATCTGGGGATTAAACTACCCACTAATGTCCCCACATTAATTATACAAATAGCTCTATAGAACTCCTTTTGGTCAGGCACATTCAGTGCTCCGGAGGTAAACCACTATAGGTATTATTACACCAACCATCATAATGTAATGAAGTTTGCTCCCTTCATTAACTTAAGACATGATTTTTTTCTGAATGATTTACAGGCAAGTGGTGATATCTGTGTGACTATCCTACAAGAATATACACTCAAGGAATTAGAGAAAAGGGTCAGCACTGGTCCAGTGCTAATTTTGCAACTTCCTTTCAAGCTGTTGTACTGAAACCTCATAGCAGCATAGTGCTCTTTTTGTCAAGTTCAGCTTTCTGTCTGGGTTGTGAGGTCCTGGCTAGGTAGAAGCAAGGTGGACACTTCTGCATGAAAATGAGTTGGTTTCACTGATCACTGAAATGTCGATTTTGCTCAGGAACATGAGAGTTTACATTTCCTAGGTAATGGGCACCAAAACCCCTGAAAACTGGGATAAAATTATATGCAATTTTTATGGTGCAGGCCTATGGAGCCATTTATAAAAATAAGCTGGGTTTTATATGATTGGTAACAAAAATACATAAAAATGTTGTTTGCCCCATATATTGGGAAATATCCTGTCTTGGCACTCTGCAGCTGGTGAGTCATAATTTTACAGTTTTTACTAAAATAAAAATGAAATTAAAAAGTCCACATTTTCAAAGAAGTACAGAAACATAATATTTATAGAAGATCATAAACAAGTACTCTGTTAATAGCTGCTGAACTTTGTTTAAAGAATAACAGACTAACATTTCCAAAGTACTCTTTGCTGAGATTGAACAGGATTTTATTCAAACTGTTGCGGTAACTAATGAAAAACAAATGAGATTTCCAAACAGTTTTGACTGTTAGGGGTGTGATGGTAATATCATTGCTTTTTGCACTTACAGCTGCTGCTTACACTGAAACTACCAATTTAAAACATAATGTCATTTTATACTTGAACTCTTGATCTGCAATACAGGAAGGGCCAGGCATATTTAACCCAGACTGGAACCAGTCTGATGCAACTGTTTTGCTCTTGTGCATGAAGCTTCTTCAGACTCCAAACTTATTTAGACCTCTGAGCAGGATCACAGACTGCTGCCAGCTTTAGAATTCTTTCTTGCAAAAAAGTAACACCACACTCCTGAGAGGACAATGCTCACAGTAATTATAGTCAGAGTGCTTCTTGTGCTTGTCCTACCCTGCTAGTTTGCTTTCCCCTTCAGCTGCATCTCTAGTTTGGGGCAGAGACTGTGCAGCTCTCCGAGCCTGAAAAGCCATTGATGTCTTCTGGGAGTTGTAGTTCATCAGGAGAGGCCTAATTCATCAGAGAGAAAAAGATGTGAACAGCTGAACTAAACCTTATAAGGCATTGTTAATACACCTAAACAGAAATTGTAATGAAACAGAAATATTTTTATGGTCAAAATTTTCATTTTGCTACTGATGTCAGAATTTTCCCAAAATCCCCACATTATGCCTAATGTTAACTTGTATTCAAACAAATGTCAGCAATTTCCACATATAAATATTTTCTAGGTAACCCAATATTAAAAAAAAATACTTAATACCTTATAGAAGATTAAAGAAAAACGAGTGAAAAAGAACCAGTAGCTCATATAACATCATCTATATTGCAAAAGGTGGACAAAGCAAAATATCCATTTTGATGAACTGAAGAGCCTGATGTCATCTTGCTATCTCTGTATTATTAAATTGCCAGGTAGTTTTATTTTTCCTGCAGATAGCTCTGGCAAGTGTTCAGATTTTTTTTAGCCAAACGGAAATAACTGGGAAATGGCCCTTCTAGATCGTAAACTATTATAATTATTGGTGTCCATTGTACAGCTCAGGTAGCATCAAGAATCCAAACGAGTCTGAATACTGAATTTCAGACACTTCAAATACACTGTTTGAAATGTGAACCAGCCACTGCTTTAGGAGAACTGAATTATTTGTTATTAAAGCCAGTAGGAGTTTATCACTCACATTAATGGGGTCAAATTTCAACTACAACTTTGTTTCCCTTTGAAAACCAAAAAAAAAGAACAACCAATCAAAAAATACTTGGGGGTGGAAGAGACAACAAAATAAACAAAAACCAACCAACCAACCAAACAAAAACCATCAAACTGAGATACTTTGAAGGTTTTAGATAAAGGTTCAGGAGATAAACATCATAGGTTGTTGAAAGAATAACTGATCCCTGAGATTAGCAAGTCTGTTTTGTTTTGGCTGTGTGTGTTAAAGCTGCAGTAGGAAGTTAACAAGATCATACAATATTTTTCATGTATTGTTCTGCAAATCAGGGTACATTTAGATTTCATATGTTGCACTGCAGATGTCACTTGATCTTTCCAGATTCTCAGTACAATCCTTGCATTGATTTATATTTGCCATAAACATTTTTTGAAGGAGGGCAGATGTAAGCACACAGACCTCCACTACTAGTTAGATGCGGGCTGCATCTACTGCTGCAGATGTGCTCCATTGGAAAAAAAACTCAGCCATGTTGCAGTACTAAACTCTGACATAATCCAAAGATTTTAAAAACACCTGTTTTACATACCTCTGAGCAAAGCTATATTTAAAAGAAACACAAATCATATAAAGGAAGGGCTAAAAACCATAGTAACTTTACTCTTTCTTGGACATTAACAGTGAGGAGAGTGTTTAGCAGAACATGAAGTGTATTCATACCTCAAGTTTTTAAGCATGTTTTTCCTCCTCTAGTGTTGCATCTGAATTTCCATGTAACAGTTCAGATGGAAGGAATGATGATAACTTAGAAGAATTAGAGGATGTAATTAGCCTGCCCTGCTTCAGCCACTGAATATTTTGATGATACAGTGTTAATACCAATTGAATGGTGTATTTGTATGTAAGGGAGCTAAACTCGAAGTCTAACCCAAATTATAGCTGGACTTATTACTTGAGTTATACTACTGGGCATGCTGCATACAGAAACGACTCTGTGAAAGACCCAGGGCAAAGAAATCCTGCTTTATAGTGCATATAATCGGAAAAGTAAGGAAAGAAAATTTAAACTGTTATTTAAACAAGCCTTATTCCAATTACTACTTTCCTCTCTGTCAGGGCCAATTATTCTCACTTTAGACATGACTAGCATTTCTAGAACCCATTTTTTATATTTTTTTACAATGTATAGAGTGCCACACAGTCACTTTGAAATGCTGAAAAACAAATTAAAGTACACAGGAAAAGGAGACTTACTAAACTTAAAGATATCCTCTTATTTTGTCATACTGAGACACATTAAAATACATAAGGACTTTACAAGCAGTAAAGTGTTTTGGACATGCATTTACTTTTGCCTCTTAAAGTAACAGTGAGACAAATTTGAAAACCAGAGCATTTCTTCCCTAGAATGTGTGCCAGACAGGAAAGCAAGTACAGGAATGTTTCCTTTCTTGTTCAGAAAAAAAACCCTTAAAATAAAAGTATTGGTTATGAAATGAATATGATGTGCTAATTACAGTGTCAGATCACTGATACTCTAGTTTAGAAGCCTCCATTTCAGGAACAGACAGAATGAAAAGAAATAAGTAGTCAAAACCTGAAAGTTCATTTTTGACTTGGTTAAATGAGAACAAGTTAATTTTTTTCTTAACATGGCATAATACAATCAGTAATTTGTATTGATCCCAGACTTACCAACTAGAAAACAGGGGGGTTGTCTTTTGGATAGCAGATCAGGGACAGCCCACAGCTGCCCACAGCTTTCTTGTTTGCAGCAGACACAGTTGCTTGGCACTGTTATTAACCAATGAGAATAGAAAATTTCCAAAACTATAGGTGCCTGGAGATCTTGCTTTGCTCTGTTTCTCTCACTTATCTGACTTGGGCAGACCAGGCGTGCATAAATGAACCTGTGTTCCAAAGGACTCCTTCATTGCACTCCATCCTGCACGCAAGAAATACAACAGGAAGGAAGATTTACTGTATTTTATTTTCATGAATAAAAAGCACAGATTTGACACTTGTTGCTGCAGGTTTTTACCCCAAAGGCCTCCAAAATAACTTGATCTTATTTTGCCATTCCTTGTTCATTTGCATTAGTAATGGAAGAGCTGTCAATCAAGAACTGAATGTCTCCTTTTACATCTATCTCCCTGGATATAGGAAAGCTGTGCAATTGATAGAATTTCATGCAATACTGATTTTACTTCTTGAATCGTCTTCTCCTCCATACACCCATCTCCTTTACTACTTTTTCCAGTATCTGTGTGAATACCAGTCAAGGTACCAGCACTCTTGATTAGCTCATGCCAACAGAACCTTCCTATAGGTTTCAGAAAAACTTAGGCTGCAGAAAGCCAGCAGCCTGGAGGTGACTAGTTTTTCTTCTGAAATTCATCCTGGACTGAAATTAAAAAAAAAACCAAACCAACCCAGAAACAAATAATATACAAATGTGGGGTGAGCTAAGGGAATGAAAAGTTAATCTTATGCATAGACATGAAAATTGGCTATTTCAAGAACCCCAACTGCCCCATGAGAAAAGCTGTAAGTTTATTTCACAAGCAAAGGAAATGTGCACTAATTCTGCTACCTTTTACATAGGGCTAATGTATTTGACCTCATAGTGACCAAGTTACTTCCTGAGGTGGCTGCTTGTCTGTGCATAATTGACCTGAAGTGGTAACTTCAGAATTTTGTCTTAAATTCCCTTCTTTAGCTGATTTCACCAGCGTACCCAGTTTCATAGAACAGACTCGTGACATGTGATGCTTTTCTTTCTTCACCTGCTTTCACAACTCAGCTCATATACATGTTGTTACATTACACTCTATTCCAGATTTGAACACATTAGCTATTCCCCTCCTCACTTTTCATACCTAAAGAGCTCCAGATAAATTCTAGACTCCATGCATCCTGGGAAGGATTTTTCCCATTCCCAAGGAGTGCTTACAGAATAGGCTCAGCTCCTTTGGCTGGCCTTGGGTGCCACAGAGCTCAGCAAACTCCATGGTTTGGAATTCTTCCCATTTCTTAGTCTGGCAGGTACTGGGATTACAGAGCATCTAAAACTAACCATATGACAGCTTTATCTCTGCAACTGTCTTTGCCCCAGTTATCTAGTTTATTTTCTAGAAAGAATTGCATCAAATTTCAATAAATACAGTTCTGACCATCTCCATTTGAGCATAACACAGAAGACGGCTCTAAGTGCCCTTTGTTAATTTCATAACTGGCAGTGAGGATATATGTGTAGAGAAGAAACACGTCACTCAGGGTCTCCTCACCTGTCCAAAACTCACTGGAAATGCACCACGTGGTTTCTGGCAGTGGCTTCTCACCTGGTAAAATGTAACAAATACATTTTATTCACATTTGGGATACTCGAACAGCATGAAACAGCCTGAAAAGAGCATTCACTGGGCCACTGTAAGATTAACTATCAATTATGATTTTCTCTATGGAGGTAGCTGGATAGTTCTCAGTTTGCTCTCAGCTGGGCCACATAGCTTATAATTGTCACTCCTATCTTTGTATTGACTGTGTGTTTTTACCTCATTAAAAAAAAATAAATCTGAATAAACATGAAACCAGCATGAAACTATATATTCTGGTTTCTTTGTACATTGCCCCAGGATGATTACAAAACTGGGAATGAATAACTGGGAGCCATAAAAGAAAAAATCCATCAGCAACAACAAAAGGTAGAAATAAGGTAAGCTCAAGGACACCTCAGCTTACATTCCTTAGGAGAACCTGGCTGTGGCATGATGGTTTGGTCTTCAGTGTGCACATACACATGCACACACAGCAGTCAAACAGGTGCAATTTAGATTTGTGCAGAACATTGAAGGAAAGAGCTAAAATTAAAAGAGAGCCAGGAGCCTTTCTTTTTCTTTTTTGAAAGAAGAAATATGCACAGATGAAGCACAAGACATTCTATCAGGAGTTCCCTTAAGCAACAAGAATTTTATTGACACTTCAACAAGGAGAAGCATTTCTCTGAATGACAGCTTTATTTAACCATTGCACAGCAGACATAGTGTAAAGTGCGTAAGAGAGTTTCTGTTAGTCTTTATAGTACTATCAAGATCAGAAGTCAATTAGAGTACTTCTTCTACTTGAAGAGACGAAATTATTTCCTTACTGCCTTGCATAGTGTGTCCTGTTTTTAACGACAAATATTTATAGGATAAATCATTCTATTAGGAAAAGACATGATTCATTCCACCCTAGGCAGACGCAAGTGTAATTGTGAATGTGAAATTCATAGTTTCTAGCACTTGTAAATGTTTGCACAGAACTGCTTCCTGTTCCATGGCTACAAAAGTCTATTTTCCTGAAGACCCAGTTAGGTGGCCTTGAAGCCAAAGCTCGCTGACAATAACCATGCTATCACAGCTGCTGAAGTTAGGGTGGTAAATTTGCATAAGTGAGATGAGCAGAGCTTGACTGGTGATCAGAAGAACAAAGCTGTCATACAACATGTCCTCAATATCCTGTGCTTTGGCTTTGCAAACCTGCAAACTCAGGACATTTGGACAACGTCATACCCTCTTTTTAATGGATTAGCACACCTACCACCTTCATGGTTTCTTCTATCTGATTCACTACCTTCAAGAATGTTGTCCCAGCTGCACATTAATGTTGTTGCTAACCCTTTTCCTTCTTTTTTTACCATTTTTTATGGAATTGTGGTAAAATGTCCATATCTATGTTTATCTTTCAGTTAAGCACATTGTCTGCAGGGTTATAGGATTTACAACCAAGGTGAGAATTAGTGAAAAACTCAGAATATTTTTATTTTAAGTACTAAACAATTTGCTCATTCTTGCTTACTTCTTGCTGATGGAACTGACAACAAAGTATTTGTATTGTTATTTCGTCTGCTGATTGCTGAGAGAGCAGACTGACTGTGTCCCGAGCTCTCCCCCAGCTCCTTTTCCATGTCCTTGTTTCCTGGTAGTTTCTCCAGTTTAAGAAAGTGAACGTACTGTGATTTGGGCCCAAAAGTTCTCTTGCATTTTCTGTTGATTTAAGCATTTTTTCTTACTCCTGAGTATAATTGTTTAGGGATAGATTCTCAGTATAAACTGGCAAAGAACCTCTGAGTGCTTCATAGCCATGCCAATTTACACAGACGAAAATTTGATATGATCTCAGCAAAGGCAGCATAATGCTACACACAGAAGAAATTCAAAAGTCAGAGAGAGACAGACTGGAAAAAACACAAAAGAATGAGAGAAAAAAAAAAACCCAACGTATCAGAAAATCTGTTTTAATAACTCTGTAAGGGGACAGCTGAAAGTAGTTGTGGGAAAGACAGTGAAGTGTAGCAGGCTGAGTCAATCTGTCTGTCCCTTCGTGTACATGCAGGTGGAGAGAGTGCACACGATTCAGCTTCCTTGCTAATGCTGTGAGACAATTAAACAAGGTATCAGTCACTGTCTTCTATACTGTGAATATAACAGTATTCCTGCCAAGCCTTTCTGTTATGCCAAATGTGAGTTTGTTTTACAGTATAACTAGGAAAACAGTTTAATGAAAGGCTCACCATGCCATGACTACACATAAATTCAGAGGCACCATGTCCCCCATTCATTAATACTTAGATTAGCTTAGACAGACCATCACCAACCTGGAGACCACTTGAGTCTGGTTTATACCTGTCATGTGTTCACACAGCCTATACTTAAATATTTATAGAGTAAAGCCAGTGTAGCCTTCAGTGTTTTTCTGTATTTCTATAAGCAAAGTTAATAAAAATGTGCCACCAGAAAAAAAAGAATAGGAAACTTCCCCTATGGTAGCAGGTAAAAATCACCCAATTTTTCGTGAAGAAGGGAAAATCCTCATCAACAAGCCATGCATCTCTATCCTCACCCTCAAACTGCAGTCTGAAGCACCACTGTCTAATTCCAGAAGTTCTTTTTTGGAAGTTGTCAAGCAAGCCAAACTGTAACTACAAGACCTGGCAGCCTTCAGTGATCAGAGGAAGAGGGCATGGAAGAGAAATAGCAATTATTTTGCACACCTGGAAAGCGTACAACTACAGAAGCTGGACCAGAAGCAAAAGGAAGACTGTGCAATTCAGGAGAATCTGAGCACTAAGTAATAACTAAACTCCTGGTCATGCTAGCTTGAGGAATGAGTCAGGGTCTGGGGAAAAGATGAGTTATTCAACGTATATTTAAAACACAACTTATTAAATGCCTCAATGCAAAGCAACATTCAGGTCTTCAGTTTTCTCCTGGATTTACTAAACAAAGGACATCTGGTCAGTCAGTAACCACTGGAGATATAGTTAACACATACAGGGACAGACAAAAATGAACCCTTCCCCTGCCCAGTTTCTGCCCTGGCCAGAAATATGACATTTCAAACCATGAAATACCAAATAACCAGTGCCTGTACAAATGCTGGCAGTAACTGCTATTCACTATATTGTGCAGGGTTACAGTAAGTTGCATTGCCCATCCCTGTAATTTCTTCTGTCTGATATTATCTGCATCACAAAAAAAAAAATGCACTTGTTTAGTGCACCAGTCTCACATTCATAAATACCTCAGAAATGCAATACAGGATAAATTATTTAATCAGATAAAAAAGTGGAGAGAAAGCTGTGCTTAACAGATTTACATAGTTTTTTGAGAACCAGTCATACAAAATAATCCTTCAGATACAGATGCAAAGTGTTACAGGAAATGTCATCTACATTATCTGGATAAGAGTCTATATTGCTATGTATATCAATGTACATATAAAGAAACATATATATCTCTGAATGGAGGCTCCATTTTTCCACTTTTGAGGAAAGCATAGTTTCAACAATAATGTTTGATCTCCCTGGTGACAGAGCTATTTACAAAATTAGCAAGATAAAACCACCTGGAGCTTTCTGTATTTACAGAAAATAAGCTTGAGATTCATTGAATTTCTCATGGA